ATTACGAAAATACGTGCCATATAATGCACATACAGACCAAAAATGTAAAAATCATGAGACGGTTGATTCAATTTGTCATTGATGTGTCAAATCAAAGTCAGAAAAAAAAGTCTCTGGAAAAGGACAGTGCCCATCTTTGTACAAACCAACACTACGGACCAAAAAATAGAAAAGAATCTCCGTGGGCGTAAATATTGAAGGAATGAGCCTTTCAAGGATGGTCGAAATATTAAGTAAAATTTAATGTCAAATATGGCCAGTGAGATAGAGACTATCATGAATTAATTTAGATTAATCTTCTGGCGTTAGTCGTACTCGAAACTGGTAATGTGTTTGACACAATTGGAATATGCAAGAGAAATTAGGAAAATCAGTTTAGGATCAAATTCATATTCCATGCATTGATTGCATATATTATATCGTTCTTACTTGATGAATGGTTTTGATAATAGGTCCGTTGATTTTGATATTCAATTTCACGAAATTTAGAATCAGGGTAACCACTTAACTGCATTTGGAAAGTATTGGTTTGGAAAAAATACGATATGAGATGATTAAATTACTTCAAATTATTCTCCAACGAACAACTAAAATGTTAATTTGATCAAAAGTCAACATTCCACTTGAGAATTTCTATGACTGAGAAAGGAAGAAGCGGAAATAATATCTGTGGCGAAGTCGTAATTGATTTAAACTTACTTGTCCCACTATATACTCCCATCTCAAGTTGTTGATACTCAAAATCTCGTTATTGATTTTATATAATTTGACTTTAAAGGACCTTGAAGATTCTTATGGCACTATGGATGTAGATAGTTAAGCGCCAACTCTTCGAAGGTTTAAACATTTGTTGTTAAACTACATACTCTGTACAATACTATTTAATTATGTTCCAGTTACATGTCCATACCAGTGGTGTATTTAGGGGGTGTGCCCAGGCCAGTAAAAGTTAAGCCCTCTAAATGTTCAAAATTCATCTCGGGCCATCTGATTTTCGGTGGCTCCTAGCCGACCCCATTCCCCCGGCCTCATTCACTTTCCGCCCTCGCCTCGGAGAGACACCTCCAATTTATAGCCCTCCACTCAGGAATTTTCTAGATACGCCCCTGATCCATAGCGTTTGAAATCACGGACTGTCGACTGAAATTTTTTTAATCCAAATTGACTCTTCTTTTTTCAGCGGGAACTTACATACGGGCAATGAGGTTGGTGATCATACCAATTAGACAATTATTCGCGTAAAGCTTCATTTACCTCGGATGTAAAGTGTTGATTTTCGGGCAAGTTTCTTAACATGCGGTATGATGCCACTGGTTTGTCCTCTAATTATAGTATAGTCCACAGGTTTGTACTCTTTGGGATAATTGTACCACCCACTGGTGGTAGATTGTGACTTTCGGTTCTATAATTAGCATTTTAAATCCCTAGTGATCAGCCTCAATGGTGTTTGAACTAGCAGAACTACGTGGCCATCAAGACATGATATCGTCAAACAATGGCTGCCATAAATTACCGTGCTGTGTTGCAGAGAGTTAGCACAGCATTCAAGGTAAGTTAGTTTGGCTCATACCACAGTGTGAAAAATCATTTTTTTACAGTTGAGAAAATTTAATTGTTATTCAAGTTTTAATATCGTTATGGCTGATTAACTTCGTACAATTTGACGCTCTTGTCCTACATGTTCAACATATGTTTTGATAAATTTCGTGGTAAATAATATGAAATAAATGTTATCTGAACCAAATTTATGCGACATTTCCAGGTAATCTTATTATAGAAAAGAGTTTTCTTCGTGTTCAATGAACGACCTTTTCAATCAAAGAACACAAGTTAATTTTCAGATGAAACTTCCCTGGTCCAATTTGTTAGAAACCAAGGTCTCATGTGAGACAGGCTGCAATATAAGTTGTAAGAGTAGACACTTTTCTGGCAAAATTTCCCCTGACAGTCCCGTTTTCCCAATCTGAAGCCGAAGAGTGGGACGTTAAACTAATTTTATTTCTTAAGCCGAACTAAAATTAACTTTAACTTCGTTCTTTTCTCAAATTTTAAAACCAGTTGACGCGACAGCAAACCCCCAAGGAATGTGATAATATTGAATTTATCGAATTGTCTATTAAGGCTAATCAATATTCGGTATAATTTAAGTTGTTAGCAGTGCCAAGATGTTTACCACCTGCTTTGTAGAATCTATAAAACCTCAGTCAATTTCCTCTCGCGACATTTTAATTTTGGGTCAATTCAGATTCGTGATATCTTGTTTTTGTGTCTATTGTTCATATTAAGCCTTTCTTTTTTCATTTGTGTCAACCAATGTTCACTCCAACTAAAACAAAACGACACACCTTACTTGTTCATGTTCGTGAACATGATTTATTGATGACAGGGTGTAGAACCACGAAGAACTACATTGGATGTGTATCCGACAGTTCAACCTCCAATTTTAGCGCTAAAGATTCATTGGTGTACTATTGATAGTACACAGTTCATATTAGTCCTCCTGTCAATTGCAATTATTTCAAAATTTCATATCCACACTATACATTAATTGGTGTACATTTGTATAAGGCTAAAGGAAACCTAAATACTATTCTTACAAAACTAAATGTGTTTGCAACTCTTCGCAATATCAAAATGTTAAAGAGAAACATATACATAATATTTGATCCGAAATGTGCTCATTTGGGCATGAAACGAGTCGGACATAGTTAAGTACTAATGTATATTTGATATAGATTGATATCAATGAATAATTTAACGTAATGAATAATTGAACATACTTGATTCATAAGTAATTATAATTATTACATGCTTCAGAAGCATTCGAAATAACTACACGATTTGTAACTTATCCCTCATTTTGTTCATAATCTCCAAAGCAGTTTAATATAGCATATTGCGAGTGCAAGAAGATAGAAGCAATTGGAATAGCAGACATTTCGCCATACGTATGTATTCAACATAAGCATGAATGACACTTTGGAAGGCCAAGCTAATGAACGTATTTCACTGTAATGTAACGCATACGCATTTTTTCACTGCAATGTAAGCATAATATGCAAGGTCAAGCATGCGCATATATTTAACTGTAAGGTCAAGCATACGCGTACTAAATTCTAAAGTAAAGAATACGCATGCACTTCACTGTAATGTCAAACATACGCATGTATTTGACTGTAATTTAAGCATATTTCACGACATAATATCAAGCATACATATGTAATTAAATGTAAGGTCAACCATACGCATGTATTTTACTTTAATGTCAAACACACGCATGTAATTCAATGAAGACCAAGCATCCGCATGTACTTCACTGTAATGTAAGCATATTTCACTGCATAATATCAAGCATGCGCATGTAATTCATTTTAACATCAAGGATACGCATGTAATTCACTTTAATGACAAACATACGCATGTAATTCAATGTAAGGACAAGCATACGCATGTATTTCACTGTAATGTCGAGCATATGCATGTAATTCACTGAAAGGTAAAGCAACAGAGCAGCTAAGTTTAAACGATTTCCACTCCTCAACATGAACTTTGATTTGTTCTCATAAATGTTAAGAACATGCCAGCAGCACAAAGAAGCCTTATCTAGTTACGACAGATTGGATAGACAAGATCTTACTCTCGGTATTACATTTATATGCATGTAAGGGGCATCGGCTACTCGTGATTGTTGACATTGGATTGGCATTAAATACCAAACATACAACCGCATTCCCCCGAGTTAAATAGTGTGCGAAATTGGAGTACTATGTCACCAACCCAATCATTCCTCAAAATTTCATAGAGACTTGCCTTGAAAAATCTGAAAATTTGGTTACGAGAGAAAAAAAAAATTGGTGCAAATGGGCAATAGTGGTTTAATAACATCCAATTATCACCAACTTGAAATTGATCATTACAGTTTGAAATATACATATTTTATTACCATAACCTAGGATGTCACGAATTCATTTTTACAACACAAACAAAAATAGCACAGAATAAACTCTAATGTTCCACTGTGTACATATTCTACACAATTCACGACCCATGACTCAATGAATATTCATGATATAAATTATTACTTAATTGTTTGTAACATTTTTACAGTGTGTCTGTAGCTCTTATAATTTATTTTATTTTTCAGTAACAAACAGAACAGATGCTGTGACAGACTTAATGGTTTTTCAGAACAGGATCACCGGTGCGATGTTTTTCGAAATTTTGTTTGACTTGTAAGCGTCCTGGTATGGACTTGACGAGACACTTTTAATATCTGATTTGAAAGTGTTGAGGCGGTATTGTGCTTTCATTCGAGATAAAATAAATAATAGATTTCTGATTTGACGATACGTTCTTAGCAATAATTAATGTCAACAGTAACATGACAACATACCTACTGCGAACGTTCTGTTATCAATATGGTAACATTGTTAATCTCTTAATTCAAAATATCAACATCATAAAAAGATCATTTGGTGATAAAACAGCGAATCACGATACGGTGTCACTTTTTCAGCACGTTTTAATATTATTTTACAACAAAATGCATATTTCAGATTTACATAATATCTCACTGGCTCTTTAATTGCTTAAATCGATGGATTTCAGTTGCATGCGAACAGATTTTAGTAAACTAAGAAATGGACTGAGAATATTAGGACCATAACACATTCTTGAACTGATCGGCGAAGCTAGTATTGAGATTAACACTTTCTGCATCTAAAGCGAAGTAAATACAGAACCAATTTGCTGGCTATTAAAGTTATTAGAGCCTCATGCAGTGACAACGATCGAATGAGCAATTACGCATTTTATAATACGAAATTTTTCATTGTCACATATACGTATTTTGATCAATAACTGCAACATATAAATTAATTTTCATTGTATTTTATCGTACATTGGATATTCGTTGACATATCTCCAACTCGTTGCCTGACTCGAACTACTGGCCATTCATAAGAAACATATGCATACATAACAGATCTTTCGTGATAATATCAAACGTTATTTTCATTGTTAAGTTTACCAGGAACAGTCGTATTCTTGGTTTTTTCATCCACAATTCGAGTGCTAGCTCTTTCATATGTATTCTTCCTAATTTGAGGACTAAAACAACACAAAACTTTTCTAAAACTTCTTCGAAAGTTTTCAGATAAAAAGGCATATAATATTGGATTGACGCAACTGTTCATGTAAGCTAAGCAGTTAGATGCCATTTGTAGTCCTATATAGAAAATATCGGTTGGATATGTTCCGAATTTTTGAATAACGAGTATAACTTGTATAGGTAACCAACAAACTGCAAACAGAACAACAACAATGATAACCATACGCGTAACTCGTTTCTTGGCGCGGACGCTTTCCGCTGACTGATTGCCGCCGGGTACTATGCCATAGAGTAATCTTTTCAACATCAAACCATACATAACGCAGACAGCTCCTAATGGTAAAATGTATCCAAACGCAAAGAAGACCCCATAAAACATTCGTCCAACGTTTGCATTTTTAAGTTCTTCAACGTTTAAACAAGCCGATCTCTTTTCATTAAAATGTTCATAAGGATATTCTTCATACATCAATAATAATGGTATGTTACATACTGATATTACCACCCAGGTTAAAATAACAGCAATAGATGTATTGCGTTCCGTGCGGTATCTCATTGAACGTATAGCATGTACCACAGCTAAGTATCTGTCCAGAGACATCAGCACTAAGGTATATACACTAGCGTACGCGCATACGTTAATCATGTACTGTACAACTTTGCACCAAATATTACCAAACGGCCAAAACGGAATGGCATATCCAGAAGCAGTAAATGGTACACAGAAAACTATAAAAAATAGATCTGCTATGGCGAGATTCAGAATTAAGATATTGGTCGTATTTCGCATGTGTTTATCACCAATCACTACTAGAATCACCACTATGTTTCCCACTAAGCCCAACAAAAATATCACACCGAATATAGTAGGAACAGTTACTCGAACAATAAACTCGAACTGAAGAATCCTTTCGTCCGATTCTGTCATGTTCCGAACACATGACGTTCCACCACAACTCCCCGATGTGAATGTCGTGCTATTATTCATTTTTGGAGTTCAATTCTTGAGATATACGAACTTCCTCAGTGCTTCAAGTCTTTGGTCCACCGATTCGCATACAAACTTCTTTCTGAAAATATAAATATGTAGTAAGAAACAGTCAATGTTTGATCAACTTCAACAGCTGTTCAATAAATGGAAATATTAAAATTAATGATCGATAGCCTAATTTGCTGGGCGGTTCTGTGTGAAGAATCAACACAGCTATTGTATTTAAACTATTTTAGATAAAACGGATTGAGAGAACTGTTATACCGTTATCCATGAAGAACGCCTACAAAACAATAAGCTGTTTGTAACATATTCTTAAACAGATATATCTACTAACTCGCTACTCAAGGAAATGACTAGTTCATAAAACTCGTTTTTAAATGATATACTATGATATATAATACGGTTCCATAGAAATATAAGGTTCGGTGACTTTACATTTGAAATAGATACACTTCCTTCCCCTCTGTAAAATCATGTTTACAAATAATAACTTTGCAAGTGATTAACATTTTCATCAACGCAAAGACAATCCAAGACTTTCAGTAGTATTTTTTTTAGTTGATATCTAAATTCATACGAAACTGATTGCCAAATATCAATGAAGTAAACAATGTATTTATAGAGTATTACGTTATATTACTCAGTTGTTGTAATTTAACTAAATAATATATTGAAATCATTGAAGTATAACCAATTAAAATGATATATCATATTTTTTTAATATAATTTAATATTTGTGTCATATTGATCATAATTTGAAAATTCAAAATAAACAACTTAAAATACACCATTTTTTAATGAAAATATACCCTACCCTTTCTTTTCACACAATAACCGTCTTATAGGTAACCATATCCAAAACTGGGATATTTTACGATTCAGAAAATCAAGAAAGTTCTCATATGTACGGAAATATATTCTTTAGAAGAATGTCGTTTCGTTTAACACTTTTGATTCATCTATGAATTGAAAGGACGATAGAACGGAAATTGCTATGTACAAAAAATACCTCATATTCCAGTGGGAAAGCAACATGAATAACTAGTCAATGGAAACATTTCATGAGCAAATGCTGAGAGTAAAATTTGATTTCTCTCTATCAGAAAATAACGTCAGATCTGACATGATATGTTGGAATGTACGCTATGTAATTTAAGATAGTATCGAAAACATGCGTCTGACCTAGTTACCCAAATCGGATCACGAACTTAGTTGACCGACAGGAACTTGAACAGAATTCCTTTTCTACACAGGGACCATGTGACGTTCAGACATAAACATGGTGGCATCTCAATTTCATGAAGTGAACGTATTCAACGTCTTCATAATTACAACACCACAATGTTGTGTGTGTGTGAATTGACAAATAAGTCTCAGAATCGACATTTTGACATTACTTTTTTCTCCAGGGCGCTTCCATCTTGGTTAATCGCCTGATTTAGCTTTTGCAAATATAAGCATGTGATTTAAAGGCTTGGTTAGAATGTGTATGACCTTTCTAAAATTCGACTTCTGTTGTCTTACGTTATGGTCGACTAAGTTTATTTCTATTATTTTTTATGTAAGAACGACAGGTAGTATCGGACTGCGACTTGACAATTTGACACAGCATGGAAGTCACGGTTTTATCGTTTTCGGATTTTCCGATTAAATGTTTCAAACACTCTCAAATCTGAGGGTCCTGGGTTCGATCCCTGAATAAGTCATGTTAATTTTTTCTGGCTTTAAAACTAGGCAAGAGGGCTAACATAAAGGCATTTAAAATGATTGGATTGGACAAAAATCTAGGCCCTGTGGCTTAATTTGATTCATAAATATAGAACGTGAACATAATTTCTTAGGAAACGATTACCATTATCTAAGCATTATAAATTTTCTTCGGTTGAGAAAATGTTCATCGAAATATCATCAAAAACATTTTATTAAGATCATATTATCTAATTTCCTTGTTTTCTAGCTTAGTTTTTTATCTTTAAAAAATCACCGGTTGTGCTGGAAGGTCGATTATTTCCATCGATATAAGAGAAATACTTTACTTCTTACAATTTCATATCTGTATACATGTTAATGGAACTGAATATTTACTAAAAAGGTGTATGTACTTATTCATCAAAGCATGTTGTGTCGGGTCGGGTCGGTATTTTGTGTATTTATTTTTCAATACAAAACATTCAATGCACTTAGCTGATACCACCTCGTAAGCCACTGGTAGAGTACCTGGAAACCAACGGCATACCACTCACCATACAGAATGTTATCAATTTAACATGTTTCACTGCAGAAACATCAGAGCACACCTTTTATTTATTTTGTTCTCCTCTTTTCTCACATTCTTTCTTTTTTTCTTTTTTTTTCAGGTCTTCTAGTATTCAACAGTTATTAGATAATCTAACCAAATCAAACCAAACCAACGACTATCATTCGACTACCAATCAACAAGAATTACAATGATCAGAACGAGTTTGGAAGATTGAAGGAGTAACTAACGCTACACCATCCAGGGCCAAGTTTCACTGCCATGTCATTCGACCCGACCAGATCTCACGAATCATCAACAACGCAGAATCATCCGATTTGAACCAATCCAACTACAAACTACTACGACTACCAACAACTACCTAGTTTGCGATATCAGCATCCGCTGGAAGCGAACGTTAACTTGTCATTTACCTACCTACAATACAACTAATATTACCTCTTATATATGAATGTATGTTACCTTGACATTTTCTAAAAAACATCAGCAGCAAACAATGGAATCTTATTAAATATGTGATAAACTAAACAAAGTTAATAACAAACTGAACATTTTATGAGAAAACAAACAAAATCAATTAGATTTAGACAGTTATAACTCTTTGCTTCCAATACGTTTCTTCAAATATAACACAAGAAAGTGTTCTCTGGTGACAAGTGGAAGAATATTAGATCCCTTTTATCTCCTATCTTAACGTATGGATTACCAGCTTCAGTTTCACAGGAAGTTAGAAACATTCAACTAGCTAAGTTCCAACATGATATTGACAGCAGTGTTTTTTTATGAAAGAAAAGATTTTGAAATCAATCTCATCATAAATTAATATGATTTGATTAAATTTCGAAATTGTAGCTTTAAATGCATTGCACGATCATGAAAACAAAATGAATGGTTGTGATGCTGACCCATTAAGTAGTATCTAGAATATTAAAGATGGTTGTAGTAGAGAATTGGCTCACTTAAAACAGAAAAACATAAGGAAAATATATAATTTCGAAGTTAAATTTGCTAAGACAGAAACACTGAATCCAAGAATGTCGCTATTACAGGTAATACTCTAATGCGAATATCAATCGATGGGTTTTTGGTTGTACTAGAAAGTCCAATTTATTAGAATGCTTTTGCTATGTGATTTAAGTTTCATACTTAATTTTCTTTACTGTATCAAAGATCGGAGCCATTTTAATATAAAATGCACTTAAAAATGCAATAAATGTGAGATCACAATCGCTGGAAAGCAACAAAAAGGATTGATCACATTATACACAATCCATTTAATTTATTCACGTCTGCCAAATAAATTAATGTGCAAATAATACTAACTTATTGATGCTTAAGAAACTATATGAAAATGTCGTCTTTTGGATCAAATTAAACAACATTGTTGCTCTTGACCCTGTCGAATATACAGACTGATCAAAATCGGTGTTCGTATTAAAATTTTACTTAAATAAGTAATTCCACAAAATTCGATTAAAAATAATATAAGAAGTTATACCGCTTCAGCCCGGTTAAGCAGAAAAGGTTGTTTTATAGTCAAATATTAAAGTGTACGGAAGCTTTGCTTGGTCTTCACTTATATGGAACATAGCTCATTCGTGATTTGCCAAAGCTACAATTTTCTAAGGTAAACCGACAGAATAAAAGTAAACTGACACAAAGTCGTTAAATAATACAAAATAACCGTAAGATTTAACCAATATTAGCACGCAATTGGATATAAAATGTGAACAAATGTGAAAGTGCAATTACTATAAGAATTGCCGCATTGCAGCGGCGAATTCTAGACGCTAGTTCAGATATTTTTCTAATTTCGAAACAGTAACGTCAGCTTTCTTACTAATCTATCAAAGATGAGCCGCGTTTAAGTCTTACTAAACCTCTCTTATATCCGAAGAAAAAGATGAGCCAACGTCTTCGCACCTTTCCAAAAAATACTCGTCTCGATCCCGATGTCCACATGTAGAAAGCTATATGATATTATAATATGATATACTAATCCGAAAAAGCATAACTGATAAATTTAGGATGATGCCCAATACATATTTACAATCATCTTCAAGGTAATTTAATATATTATAAAACGCATATTTGGAGGTGTGAAAAATCTCCATTTAATAGGGTATTGTATTTCTGTCAAAATATCAATCAGAGGCTGGAATAGAGGAAGATGTTTCGGACTACATACCTATATAAGATAAACTTACTTTTATTTTATCAATATTGTCCTATATTGTTATCTTTGATGGTGGTTGGTGTTTGTGTATATAGCCTGATTTCAGATAGGTTACAATGCCTGAGAACAACACCAATTAATAATGGTCGGAGTAATCTATCGGGGTCTATAAACGGATTTCTATTTGATTGTCTATACACTAATTGTTAGTATGTATGTAAAGTGGTCTCTACTTCCTTATCTTTCCTCTTACAACCTTCATTAAACATATTTACAAAACAAGAGGGTACGAATTACACTTACTTTACTCTTCAAGACTATCCGTTCAATCACCCTTAATTATGGTGATTACATAGAGATGTTGACCATACCATCTGGGGGGTTTCTTTTCAAATTATCTGATCGCTCCGTATCAATTGAATTGACATTTACTGCGAATTCATTGTACATCAACCCTGTGGGAATAAACTGGAATAGATGTAAGGTTTTAACATGCCAGTT